CAAGCTCTCTATCATCTGGCTCTTGCCTTCTTTCCAGTCTAACAGATGTGGTTCTCAGTGGGGGTTTATAGAGAAATATTGAAGTTTGAATGGAGTGTTATTCTTTGTCACAGGAACTGTGGAGGAGGGGCATTATTGCCATTTATTGGATAGGGACTAGGATATTTCGATATCCTTCAATGCGTAGTAAGTGTCATATAATGAAAACTTTGTTGTGGCTCTTAGATTTCTGACTAGGTATCATGTAAATAAAAATCCATTTTAATTATTTGAGCCAAAGATGCATATCACTTTTATGTGTGAAAAAATTATTTTTGGAATGCTGTTAAGATTTGCTAATTCTTCCAGGTAGGTAACTGCTATATAAATCAAGAGAAGAGTGCATTTTATTTGGAAGGTTACCAAGAACTGCTTACCATTATGGAAAATCACACCACCTGTGCAAAGCCACGAAGCTTCAGCAAAGTTAATTATTGTTCAGCTTTGGGCTCTAATCTCACCTGTAATCTGGCATGCGGGGTAGGAAAACTGACTTTTAATAATTAACTCCAACACAAGGACACAGTTGGGGAAAAGTACAGGCTGAAATTCAGTGAGCATCCATGTACCAATAACTTAGTCCAAGAGTAATACATACTAGATGTATGATAATCTCTAGGTACCATCAATATTGAATGGTAATCTATTTATTACTTGTGACAAAAAAGTCCCGTGGTGAAAACTCAACTCTGAGGTTCACAAGGATCAAATGAAATTAACATTGTATAGAATTACCAGGGAGTTTTATGGAGGAATTGGATGAGTTGGCATTAGAAAGTTTTATAGCACCTGTTTAGGCAGAGTAGATGGCAAGATGGAGATGGCAGGGAGGAAAACGGAGATCATTCACACTGAAAAGTAAGTAGTGGGAAAATTAGGTCATTTTTGTAATTTGGAATCATGAAAATATATTACCCCCCAGAAAATGGCAAAACCTAAAAAAAAATTATTTTACATGTGAACTTTGTCCTCTAACGGAAGAATCTTGTCATCAGGGTCATGAACTGCCACATTGCACAATTCAGTGGAAAATATTTATATTGCATTTTGTGTTAATTCCCTGAAGTTGTGTAAAATAGAGGCCCTTCTTAGACTATTACCTCTTTACTGGGGATATGCCTCTTAACAGGATAATTCTCTTTCAGCTTTCAGTGCAACACCATGTACCTGTCATCTATTCATTCCACATACATTTTGTCACAGGCATATTTAATCATTTATTTCAAGCCTCAGTCATTTACAGCTTTGAAATTGATTGAAAATAGAGGTCAGGCTAGAGAGAGGGTATTTCTTTACCTATAGAATGCTAATACATTTGATTGAATGCCTGAAGAATTGCACAGACTTTGAGTTGCATTTGAAGAAGGGGATAGTGAGCGTTCCTTTGCTTGAATATGCTGCAAATCCAGTGCATTCATCTGAGAATGTTTTATATTAATTCACTAAGAAAGAACATGTGCATCTTTTTTGGGTGTTTGGGGACAACTGGGAGAGGGATTTAAGAATTGCCAAGAAGTTCAGCAAAGGCAGAAGGGGACTTGGTTATCGGTTTCTGAGCCAATTTGCCTGTTTCTCAGAGTAAGAAAACTCCATTCAAGAGTATGCCAGTCCCTTCCCCAGTCACAGGCTTGCTCCTCCTCAGAGCCATTTAGGGCTTAGATTGCAGATGCAAAGCTACTTTTTGTACCTTCTAAATCAGCTTCTACAGTATGGATTTGCTCAGTGATTCCCTGAAATATGGATATTTTTGAAAATGCAGTTGATTAATAATTTTTATTTCCCTGTCTCTTTCATGCATGGAATGAGTGAGAGTGAATCAGGTTTACAGCTTAAAACTAAGCTAAAATTCTGCTTACATAAAATTAAATAATCATATTTTACTTCTATTGTTTAATTGGCTGTAAATTGTTAATGATAATCTTCTAAACAGTTCCTATCAAGCTTACAAAACCTAGGCTACATTATGAATTCAGCTTTATAATCGTATACTGCTACCATCTTTTACTCTCAATCCTGGTGAAACAAATTAGACTAATTATATCCTGAAGTTTAAAGTTTTTCTCAAGACTTTCTCTCTTGGATGACAAATTTAGGAGTTGATTTTTTCTTCCCTAGGCATAATGTCCCTTTATTTTGCCCATGAGTTGGCCTGCTAGCCTTATATCCTGTATTCCTTCTCTCTCCTGATCTTCCACTATTTCCTACTTATGTTGGTTGATCAGCAAAGTGAA